TGATCTCAAATTTACAGAAAACTTGCAAGTATAGTACAAAGACCTTCGCCTCTCTTCCCCCAAACCACTGGAGAGTAAATTGCTGACCTAATTCTCCATTCATTACCCCTGAATACTTCAGTGTGTAATTCTTACAAACAAGGACATTTTCCTTCATAATTACTATAAAACCATCACATTCAAAAAATCAGTATTGATACATTATTACAATCAAAGGCCCATCAGAGCGAAAGGATCCAGTTTAAAGTCATGAATTGCGTTAGGTTTTACACGTCTTTAGTCCTGTTTACTCAGGGACAGATAGTTTCTCAGTAGTTCCTTGACTTTCCATGATCTTGACATGACATGCCAGTTATTTTTTAGAAAGTCCTTCCATTTTGGGGTTTATTATAAATGCCCCATTCCTCAACTAGCTTTCATTTTATTTGTATCAAAATGGAGTTATAGTTTCCTATGTTTTAATCAATTTCTATCATTTCCTTTCGTGCTCAAATTGTCCTCAAAGTGACCTTTGTGAATCTCTTCAGCTGGTTCTTGGGTCCTTTTTCCATGTCCCCGCAGTCGCTGATCACATTCTTGCTTTCTGCCACAAGATATTCCAGGCTGATCTCATGCTTTCCTTTTCCTCACCCCTGATCATTTCTCCAAAAGCTCTTATTCCTTTTAGTGGGAAAGGGTACTTAGAAGCCAAGATGTAGATGTTGGCTGTGCTCATTGCTAGTAAGGTGTTGCTCTTCCTATGTCTTCTTAGTGAATAGAGCTGTGTGAGCTGAAAGCTATGAGTTCATGTCAATATGTGCTACCCCAGTCCAACATCACAATATTCATTCTGGTTTTCTTTTTCTCTATAGTTTTAACTTGCTTCTCAGACAGTGAACAGTCTGACTCCTATTGTCCTTATGTGTTTACTTACTTGATTAATTTCCCAATCTGTAACCATTGCCAACACCCCTCCATCCCCATACAGTTGCCCTCTTCCTCATAATCTGACACCCCTGCCCCAGGCTTGGCCTCTTCAGCCTTTCCTGACACTGAGTGCCAGGCCATTCCTCTACAGGGACACCCTTGGCACCTTGCCTTGGCCCTGACACCTGCGGCAGGCCTCTCCTCCAGGTACATGCCCTCCTCATTCCACTCAGGCTCTATTATCCTGTGCCAGGCTGCCCCAGGTTTGGATGCCCTCCCCACACCATATGGGTTCTGATTCTCCATGCCAGGCAGCCCTTTTAAATCTTTTAAATGTTTAGTCTTCAGCTTCCCACTCTGCGCTTCCTCAGCACCCCCAGCATGGATGGCTACCTTGTTCTGATGGCTTTTAGTGCCACATTGTACAGGAAGGGAGGGAAGAGAAAGGGAAAAGGTATGGGAAAGGGAAGAGAGAAAGATGAAGAGGCACATAATTATTTTCCAGTCCTCACAGTAAGCCTTCCAAAAAGCAGTGTTTCCCCCTAGTTTACACTTGAGGGGACTGTAGTTCTGAGAGATGAAGCCACTTGCCCAAGGTCTCAGAGCCAGTAGTAGGTAAGGAGCCAGCATCTGAACCAGGTCTTCAGGCTCTGTCTATCCCACCACACTGGCTCTAAAGAGAATGCTCTCAAAATGTGTTTGGTCTTTGGATGGTCCCCAAATGTGTAACATGGTGTTTGAAGAAAAGGGATGCAGTTCTCTTGAGAAGCAATAGGTTGTGTTCATTGCATGAAGACAGTCTTGCCACCACTTGGTCTACTTCCCCGTCTCATCTACAATTAGGCTCAACAGGAACATGGCTTCATTTGGCTTCGTTGTCTGGGTGGAGCCACGAGGCTGGGACTCTGGTCGCCAGTGGCACTCGGCCAGAAGTCTCACTACCTACCCAGTGGTGGTGTCTGCCTTCTGTGGTGGGCGCTTCTGAAATGAGTCATCTTTACATGCTTGCCAACCTAATCCTCTCCTCCCCAGCTGGCCTCACCCTTACTGCCACAAGGGAGCTTCGCAACTTTCTGAAATTTTAAATGGGGAAATAAATGCTAAATCCAGAATGAGGAAGGGAAAAAGTTTGCTCTGGTTCCGCACACACAGCTACAGAATACACTAGCCTTAATGCTCTTCATACCCAAATCCTGAGGGCTGGCATATACATAGGATTAGAGTGTATATATTGTGAAGTGAACGTCTAGCACTATTCTGTAACTTGTTGTCTTAAATGCTCATTTGTCAGTGTCTTTGGGGTCCATGTAAAGAACTCCAGAAAACATTCTAACAAAACCAAGGACAAAAAGAAAGAAAGAAAGCCTCTTTGCATAAAAGAGCAAAAGAACAATTGGCAAATCAATTTCATTTTCCCCAGACTTGAGCATACTTTGAGAAGAAAATTGGATTTGAATTTTTTAGTTATAGTGTAGGAACTATCACAAAATCTTCAAGCTGGGAGAGATATCCTAGAATTCATGTTATGCCCGTGCCTCACCTTATGAAGCAACAGAGAGGCAACTTGAGGATGATGGATGGAGGCACAGTCTGTAATTGTGTGAGTCTGCGTCTGTGTGTGTCTGTGTGTGTTGCACACATGTAAGTAAACACTCTTGGAGACAAGAGACAAAGCTAAAACAGATATTGTTCTGGTTACCAAGGCTTAACCTACGGTCTTAAATGAGGCTGCTTCCTGGCTTTCGTTTTGGTGGCCCACACAGGTTTCCCTGTGAAGAGGCATGTGACGGAGCTCTGACATCAGTTCCCTTTGCAGCGCACAAGTCCTGAGAAAGGCAAACGGCAGGTACTACAGTGAGACATTTGAAGTTAATTCAGTTTGCTTCCATCTTAGAATGAATTAATATTAGTTAATTCCTTGGGGAAGGTTTTCCCTTAAAATTGGCTTTTCCACTGGTTCAGCATGTTGTCACTTGGGGTAGTATAATCAGGATACAACTTGAAACTTGCCTGTATTTGTCACTCTCTGAGTTGGGTGGCTTTTGCCCCCAGGACATTAGGTCATATGACACTATTTCTTTTCACCCTTAGGGGAAGTCCCAAAAATTCATTTTCTGTACTAGAAAAGCCCAGCCATCCAGCACCCACGTACATATTGCTGCCGAAATTTATATTGGCGAGAATAACTTTTGAGAAGTTAGCGTGTTTATGAAATCCCCTGGGAAACTCTCTTTTCAAAGGATCTGTGTTAGAAAATAGAAGATCAATATTATAGTATAAAATAGAGCTTGGTCCTAATTGTATCTACTCCTTTTTTACTACTACCTTCTACTACGTAGAGCAACTGGAACCAAAATCATTTTCTTAAATATTACAATTAGTTACTACTTCTGAGGAATTGTTTGCACAGGATCTCCAAAAAGCTGTTTGTTAATTGATGATTATGAGCAATATGATTAACATTTTAAAGTTTCTTTATTGTGTTGGTGTTTAGGGATCTCAAACCAGAAGTTGTGCTGGCTATTTCTCTTAAAATCCTTTCTAAATATTTAGCCTCACTTCCTTTTTCAGAGTACACCTTTCTCATTTCCTTGTTTGTTTGTCTCCGGTTCCCCATTTTGGCCTGTTGTTCACCCAGCCCGGTCAGTGCAGGTTGGGTCAAGGCGATGTAAGTGGCCAGGAGACACTGACAACGGGTGGCCGTTTACAGTAAACCGTGACCTGAACTAGTCACCAAGCTCATCATGGCTCTCTTTTAGGCTATTTCTTGTCTCCTTTTACTCAAAACAAATAGCTCATCTTTAGAGCATAATACGATCCAATGAGAGTCATATTCTCCGTTCTCCCTGCAGATGACACTGGGACGTCTCATTTTTCTTTAATTAACTCAACTAGAATGCACGGAATACTTGTTCTGTGTATGCCACTGCGCATAACCCAACACTTTGCCCCTCCCAAAGAGTTATAAACTCTGTATTTGGGTCACTGCTAGTAGCCCTCCTACACCCCCTGCTTTATCTGCCTGCCATTTGATCTGCCACTAACCCAGTTCGTGTTCCTCTGCCAACTTGCTCGGTGGTTTTTCTAATAGTGTGGGAAATCAAACAACATGGGTGCGTGCTCGCGCTGTTGACTTGGCAGCATGTTTTCCAGGAAGTCTTTGAGTCATAAAACTGGGCAATATACACATTGGTTTCTATGGTGATTATTTGACAATTTATACCTGTTGATTTTCTTGTTATGAAATTATGGTCTGATTTCTTTCCCCAGGGATAGTCCTAGACCAGTGATGGCGAACCTATGACATGCGTATCAGAGGTGACACGCGAACTCATTTTTTTGGTTGATTTTTCTTTGTTAAATGGCATTTAAATATATAAAATAAATATCAAAAATATAAGTCTTTGTTTTACTATGGTTGCAAATATCAAAAAATTTCTATATGTGACACGGCACCAGAGTTAAGTTAGGTTTTTTCAAAATACTGACACGCCGAGCTCAAAAGGTTCGCCATCACTGTCCTAGACATTATATTTTAAACCCTGTCCACAGATACACATTTTTTAAAACACCATTTTAATGGAGATTGAGAATGCTAGCAAAGATTTTCAGTATATAAATCATTTATTTCTATTTTTTTTCATAATCATGCCCTGCCTTTTTAATTCTTAAGAACATTGATATGGAGATTAAATGTTTTCCTCTATTTTTATCTTCAAATGACCTTTATTTGCTGCTTCTGCACTTTGCTAGATTTATTCCAGCTGCTTACACTAGAGTCATAGTTTAGCTTCAACTTGGAGCCAAATGCCCCACAGCTGAAATGACCACACCTCCGAGGTGGCATTTTCCCAGGCCATCCCTGCCTTTAATAAGGAGCCAGCCAGGAGGCAAGTTTGTGTCTCAGTACAAGAGAGCCTTGTGTTAGGCCTGGCGCATAATTAGACGTGAGGAATTACAATTGGTCCTCTCTTTGCAAGACCTTTCAGCACCAAGTCTATGCTTAAGCCATTACTTTTATTTTTAATCTAATGATTTTGCCTCTCTTTCTCTCCCTCTCTCTCCTCTCGCCCCCCATAATAACAACAATAAAGACACCAAGGAAATTCGGAGATTTGCCGTTTTAAAAAGACTGGATCCCGAAAAGATTTTCACAAGACGCTTCAGAAACAGACGTTTGAGTCAGAAATCTTGGAGTGCAGTGAACCCAGAGTTCAGGTATTTCCTATCAACAAACACGGTTACCAGGTTACTGGCTGCTCTGCCCACGGCAGGCTGTGGGGTTTTAGTAACTACTAAAAAGGCGAAATTCGTAGAATGTTAGAATAGGAGGAACTCTACCATCTGAGTCAGTGATTTTTTTCCAGACTTGTTTGTAGCCACAGACATCAGTGTGCAAATGAAAACCCAGATGCTCAGTAATTAAAATAGATAAAAGTGGGGGGGGGGCTCTACTTGCTGGGGGAGGCCACTGGGCCCTATCCCTATAACATTCCTGTGGAGAATAGAGGTGCCCCTAAGGCAGGCTGCAGACTGATTAAAACAGCAGTTCTCAACCTGTGGGTCGCGACCCCTATGGCGGTCAAACGACCCTTTCACAGGGGTCGCCTAAGACCATCCTGCATATCAGATATTTACATTACGATTCATAACAGTAGCAACATTACAGTTATGAAGTAGCAACGAAAATAATTTTATGGTTGGGTCACAACATGAGGAACTATTTAAAGGGCCAGAAGGTTGAGAACCACTGGATTAAAAGCTCCACACTGAAGCACACTGCCTGGGCCCCCTGTGATTCTACCACATCTAACTCTGCAACCTCAGATAGGATAACTAAACTCTCTGGGCTTCCGTTTCCTTCCCTGGAAAACAAGAGTGGTAATAGTAACTAACTCATGAAGTTGTTTGAGCATTAAATGAGTTAATATGTGTAAAGCATTTAGAACCATGTCTCTTCTGACACTTAGTACCCAATAAATATTGGCTACTGTTATTATTGTTGTTACTATTATTATTATTACAGAGTAGTTACAGTTTAAAAGTCAGCTCTGTACATCTATGTTTATATAACAGCAGTATTCACACTAGCCCAGAGGTGGGAACAGCCATGTATCCATGGTCAGATAAATAGATGAACAAATGTGGCATACACATACAATGAATTATTCAGTCTTAAAAAGGAGGGAAATTCTGACAAACACCACAACATGTATAAACCTTGAAGCCATTATAAGTGAAGTAAGCCAGTCACAAAATTACCGACACTATGCTTTCACTTACTCGAGGTACCTGGAGTAGTCAAATCCATAGAGACAAAAGTAGAATGGTGGTTGCCAGGGGCTGGGAGAGGGGGTAATGGGCAGTTACTGTTTCATGGGTAAAGTGCTTCAGTTTTGCAAGATGAAAAGAGTTCTGGAGATTGGTTGCACAACAGTGTGACTATACTTAGCACTACTGACTGAACACTAAATTTTGTCATGTATATTTTACCACAATTAAAAATAAATTTTGAACCAGTGCTCTAGTCCAACAGGCTCATTTTATAATTAAGAAAAATAAAACATATAGGAAGGGATTTGTCCAAGTTTGAATAGGACTTCTTCTTAAACCAGTATAATTTTTAGCTTTCAGGTGCTGTCCTAGCCCAAGCATCTCACCCTGCTGAATAGTACTGGAGGGTTTTTAAATAGTGCCCATTCTTCTAACAACACAGTCTCTCCAGTCCTGCCAGCTGCCTACTCTGAGCTCTACAGAGGAATCAGCCATCAATTCTAGTGCTGAATGTGGTGGGCTTCCTGAGGCCTAGAACATCTGTGTGCTGTACTCTGTGGGAGATTGAAGGGACTTTTTCAGTGGTAATTTTGACTAAATTCAGTTTTTACCATACACGATGGCAAAGTGAATCGTTCCTTGTATCAGTCAGACGGCAGCCACACTAGGTATTTCCACAGGAGAAATTTAACGTAGGGAATTGGTTAAACAGATTTTGGACGACTGAGAGGACCAAAAGGGAACATTGAAGTTATGTGGGAGTCATTACTGCAAACCACAGCACACCACCCTGGGACTGGGGTCTAGGGCAGTGCCTCCCAAACGTTAGCTTCCTCAGAATGGCCTGAAGGGCCTGTTCAAATACAGATTGCTGGGCCCCATTCCAGAGTTTCTGACTCACTAAGTGTGGAGCGGGGCTTGAGAATTTTCATTCCTAATTAGCATTTCCCAGGAGATGCTGATGCTGCTGGTCTCAGGAGCCATGGATCGAATGGGAAGAGCCTGGAGATCAGAACCTAGGAGCTCAGAAGAGGGGCCGCAGAGCTAGGACTCAAATCTCTGAGGAGGGGGTGTGGTCTAGCCAGTGCTGGTACCTCAGGATCTCAGAAGAAAGACCTTATAGAGGCCAGAAGTCTGTTACACCAGACTTCCTAGGAGGTGGAATTGCTCAGCTGGTTCTGGTACCTCCAAGGAGGTAAGATGAGGATGGTTCTGGAAGCGCCAAAGAAGCCAAGGCTAGAACTACTGCCACTACCATGGCAAGAACTGTAAGCAAAGAGGAAGGGGCCAGTCTCTTCTCCCAGCCCCTTGTAGCGCCCCTTGTAGCGCCCCCTATTGGCATAACTTAAAAGGAGCAGCAGGTAAAGCAGAAATGTGATTTACTGAATTGTAGACCTAGCATCACAGATTGTATAAAAGGATAAATATGGAGCTGAGAGACAATAGGTGAATGACCAGCACCCCCATAAAGCACACTCATTCCTCCAGCAGGCTAACAGAATGTTCAATGAAGTCATTGGCTGGGTTTCAGAGGCAAGTTATTAACAAACTATGTTTTTAAGTATTAGACTAATACTCATTATGGAGTGATACTCACACCATGAAATGACCAGCAACATCTTCCCTTTCATTCTCATCCTTATTTACCTTATTAAGTAGAACGGTGAGGCCAGATGCCTGAATTTATGTAAGTTAAATACCTATATGATATGACTTCATGGTACTCAGATATTTCATAAAATTGGGTCATATTATTCATAATATTATATAACTTTCTACTTCATATTAACAATACAATATAATGAATATATGTCCTTTTCTTTTTTATTGGCTGCACAACATTTCATTATATAAAAGTTCTAAAATTTCTTAATGCTTCCTCTTTTAGGGGGTATTTAGATTATTTCTGTCATTTAGGGGGCATTTAGATTATTTCTGTCATTTTGTTATTAAAAACGATGTTTCAGATATGCTCTTGTCTTTGTATCTTTGCTTACTTGTCCAGTGGTACTCTTAGGATAAATTCTGGAGATACATATATATCTCTTGATATCCTTTTGAAGAAATTGAAAATCCACTTCATTTCCCCAAGGCTTTTATAAATTCTAAAACAAACAAAAATATTAATAATTAAAGTGTTAATATTGATTATTGCTAGCACATTCATTTTAGGTAAAATTTATGATCTAGCAAAGTAGTATTTTTTATGAGGTAGATAGATGTCACAAAAAGTGTACCTTATAGAGAAATTGTAAAGGGTGTAATCCATTTAGTAGAACTTTAGGATAACAATTTATCATCAATTTTATAGATGTTTATAACAGATCCGTCTATATTCTTACAACATATTATTGATTATGGTTATATAGTCCTTGCCAAGTCTTTGGTTAGATATGCATTCCAAATTTCCAAGACATTTCTAATGGAATAAAGCATTCACTTCATGATTGATTTAAGAGTTTTTTCAAACACACTGCAGCTAAACGTGGATACTACTTGAATAGAAAACACTTTTTCTTTTTTTCTGGTGCTTATTCCTGTAACTGTTACTAAAATCTGTTCCCATGCCCATAGCTCTGTCTCCAGAAACATAGATTCAGCTTTGGAGTTTAGATAAGGTTTAATGTTGAAGGCTCCTCACAGGTCATCTTATTTTCCAGTTTCAAAAGCCAGGTTCTGGAGTTGAGATTAGGATGAGGTCTCTCTATTCCCTAGGCCAGTCTCCTTTCTGTTACACCTTGTTCCTGTCTGTTCTGCTTGAACATGAGACACGAGCACGGCTCATAAGAGGCGTGGGCTTCCAATCTCCAGAAAAGAACACACCAAAAACCTATAGGAACACCGTGCCGTTTTCAAACCTTTCCGCAAGTTCAGGTTTACTTACCTAATGAGTAATTACCTGTTTCCAGGTGAGGAGGAGAGATTTCATTTTAGGATGCTCAGGGTAGGAAGCGAAGATGTGATTCTTGTCAAACCCCCAGTTGGCTCAGAAACTCCTTGAGGCCTAATGCTATAATCGCACGTGGGAGCAGTGTTGAGACATCCCAGATTGTTTAGTTCTCATTTTAGATCCACAGTCTCTCTCACAAGGATGTGTCTTTTCTCACAGGCAGGCCCCCGCCCCTTAAAGGTGCTGTGTGATGTGTCTGGGAAAGGCCCCCTCACTGCTTTTGACTTCAACCTGCGCAGCCTGCAGCCTGACCAGCGGCTGGAAAACCTCCTGCAGCACGTGAGTGCCGAGGACTTTGAGAAGCAGAACGAGGAGGCCCGGAGGACCAACCGGCAGGCCGAGCTCTTTGCCCTTTACCCATCGGTGGACGAGGTGGGTGCGACCATCCCCATGCGGGAGAATTTCAGTGAAGACACAGAGAGGCTCCGGGATAATATTATTGTTCATTATTACTGTGTAGCAGCGTCAGGATGTTTAATCATATGATTTCTAGGGCTTTTTATATAATCTTATTTTCCAGTTTAAAAATTATATATATATATAAATATATGTACTGAGTGGCCAGATTATTTGACCACCCTATCAGTACTTTGTTGGGCCACCCTTTGCCTTCAATACTGCGGCGATTCTTCTTGGCATTGACTCCACGAGATGTTGGAAGGTGATGCGAGGAATCTGACACCAGGCCTGATGAA